ACATCACTCAGTTACCTTACTCACTTATGCAACTGGCTTATGTATCTATCTACCCACCTCACTCACCAAACAACTCACCCACCACAACTTCTCATTCACTCATATATTCACCCACCTACCCATCGTACCCATTCAGCCACATAATCCCTCACTACCTCTGCTCTTTTTTGTGTGGATGGGTACATGAATAGGAAGGGTTTTGAGGGAAATGGTTCAAATGCTGGCAAATGGGACTAGATTATTCAGCGCAGATGAATTGAACTGAAGGGTCTGTTTCTATGCTTACAACTCTATGACTCTGAGAATATGTAACTTGATGTCATAGGGAGTGTTTAACACAAACCAAATTGATGTATTTAAAGTGAAGTGAGTCATGCATTTGAGAGATAAGAGAGTAGATTTTACAATACTAGATTTAGATAAGGAAAGATGGAAGGAGTGTGTGGGGAGTTTAAATACCAACATTGACTGGTTGGGCTAAATGGCCTATTTCTGTGCAATATTGTATGCTGTACTCCTGTACCATTACGAAGTGAAGTTCAATGTGATTGAGTGATGTACCAGACATGGTTGAATTGCTGGCAGTGTGTACAAGCTGTGAAATGTGGGTAGGTTATGATTTGATTGGCAATGTTGGTGGTTGAATGAAGGAGGATGGTGGTTTGAGAAGTACGCAAGACTAGTGAATCAGTTGTAAGCATTCAGGGCAATTGAAGATTTATTTACTGACCTTGATGTCTTGTGTGAGGTCATTTAACATTTTTGCAGCAGTACAACCAGATCCTCAGGACTACACTGTTGGCATTGACCATAGTGGCTATCTGTTCGTATTGCATTCTTAGTTTCTCTCTTTAGGGTTTCCTAGTATTCTATAGATAAAGGACATTTCACCTCCCCTGGTCCTGGACCAATGCCTCCAAAATTATGTTACAGAACCTTGGAGCATACTTTGTACCTTGTTGCACTATTATTCATTGTTCTTACTGCTCAAACATTTTTCCACAACAACTTCCACCACATACTGCAGCAAGACTGCACCTGTTCTTTGAAAGATATTGGCGGGGTGGGGGTGGGGGGGGGATGAGGGGGGGATGTGCGGGGGCATGACAAGACAATAGGAGCTATTAGGGACATGGGTAATGGGTGAATGTGAAGTACGGATTTGAGGGCCTAACGTTCATGATTGCAATGAGCTAATGGCTGTCTATAGGAGGTGGGCCTTCTAGTCTACCAGGCTCACTAACTTCATTGCTGCCTTGGACCTGCATCCAGAGACGGAGGGCCCTTAATCCATCCCAACCATTGGTTCCCCTCACTAAAAATATGGTGAATGGATGCCTCTTTAATCAAAATGTGTTTTCAGTCAAAGATTTTCCCAACTCCCAAACTCCATCTATCCTTGACAAAAATCTTATCCCTTGGAAATTGTTTCCAAGTCCTTCACTGTTGCTGGGTCACAAACTTGGAACTCTCAACCTAAAAGCACCATGGACATACCTTCATTACACAGACTGTAGCAGTTCATGTTGGTAATTCACTATCTTATTCAGGACAACAGGGGATGGAAAGCAAATGTTCACATAGCCAGTGCTGTCCATATGTTAGGAATGACTATTTGTATTAATAATTCCTAAATGGCAATTTTAGACAAGCAGTAGTTGAGGGAAAAAAAAATGAGAGTTGCATTCCAGTGAAGGTTTAATTGTTCCACAATGAGCCAAGCTAAATTGTCTGACTGAAGTTGCCAATTGGAAAGTCACTGACAGCTTCAGTTGAAAGAAAATAAAGAACTTGCCTCCATCTCCCACCTTAATCATTCACTCCCTCCACCATCGATGCACAGCAGCACAGTACATGACATCTGCAAGATGTATTGCAGCAGTTTACCAGAGTTTCTTCATCAGCACCTTCCAAAACCACAATCACTATTATCTGGAAAGATAACAGCAGCAGAAGCATAGGATCACCACCACATACAAGTTACCCTCCAAGTCACACAACATCCTGACTTGGAACTATATTCTCCTTCCTTCAGTGACACTGGATAAAATCCTGGAATGCCCTTCCAAATAGTACAGTAGCTGTCTCTCTTGTTCAACCCTCATAGTGAGCAGAATACAAACCATAGACTCCCAGAGTAAGGAAAAGGGGACATAGGGAAAGCACAAAGGGGAGAGAAAAAAAAGAGAAATGCTATAGGAAATGCTGTTAGTGAGAAATAAGGGAGGTGAAAAAGAAAAAGTTTAAAGAAGAAAGAGCATTAAAAAAAATTCAAAATCCACATGTACATCAATGACCAGTCATTCATCAGTGTGCTGGTCAATATATAGCCAATGAAAGGTTGCACACCTTCTTGAACTTGATTCCTAGTCTCACTTTGTTGGCCTCTGTCATCCACCTTGTTTCAAAGGCAAAACAAGGTTAATCATTATGCAGTAATATTCAAATATCAAATATCTTCACAAATAATTCAAAGACTGGTTCACAAATTTTTTTCAAAAAAATTTCATCTTTTTGGACTTGCCTCATTTCTAACATTTGAGTATAGGTATTGTGTGTAGTAATTAATAAACTCATTTTTTTGTTAATTGAAGAAAACCTGATTAAATTAGCTCTTTTTAAATTTTGAGTTCTTTTGGGACTGGTATTCACAAAGGAAATGAATACTTTTTAAGTTAATTTTGTTGCAACCAAATGAGGGGGAAAGTGAATACAAAAGGGGAGCCAGTTCATTCCTCTTCATCCGGGAATTTACCAGCTTGGGGCATCCCGTTTGAAACCGTAATAAACTGGGGAACCTTGTATTGGATCTGATTGTAGCAAGAGAGCATTCCTGAAGTTATCCTGTCTATATAGTAGTTCCAAGTGTACATCCATGAAAGCAGGCATCTCTGATAACTTATGCTACTTATTGATATAACAGTACCTAATCATTATCCAACTTTGTCTGTGTTCTTTTGAGATGTAAAAAGGTTCTGTGGATGATTTCAAAGGAAAGCACATGACTTCTCAAGTTGCCAGCTGTGTCATATAAGAGTCTACTCTTCCAAAGTTCTTTGTTGGGTTTGTAGCACTTTGTGTTATATTGAGCTTGTAAAAGGTGTTATATCAATGTACGGTTTTGTTTGTGTTGTGTATGTTCTGGAGTGTGAATAGAAAGCACAGCCTTCTGTTCAAAGGTGAGATGTTCCTTTCAACAATGCTGACTCACTTCCCAATCATTCCCCTTTTCACTGGAATTCATCAAAAGAATAGTGAACTGTCAACCAAGTTGTATTGCTTATATGCTACCCTACTTGGTCACTGAAGTTTTAAGGGAACTCTGGATAAAATGGAAAATATGAATTAAAAGTCTTGCACATGGTCAACTGAATTCGCTTGTTAAGAAAGATAACATGACTCCTGAGAGGGAACAGTCTCACTGACTCTGGACTATTCATGATAATCTTGTGGGTTGGGTTCATCACAAACTGATAATTTTTATTTTACCTAATGTACTTCCCATAATGCTATTATCTACTTGTGATTCCTTCTCAGCAATCTCAAAATATGTGAATCCAAACTGCAACTTCATACCTTTGACGTGTAATTGAATACTGTAGAATCTGATTCTACTTTTGTTATGGTGCAGAAAGAGGCCATTTGGCCCATCATGTCAGCACTGACTCTCTGAACATTTTGGCTTTGGGACAATGTCCTGCCTTTTCCCTGTAATGCTGATATTATGTTTATTTAAATAGTCATTCAGTGCCCTCTTGAATGCTTCAGCTGAACCTGCTTCCACCATATTTCCAGGCAGTGTACTTCAGACCTTAACTCTTCACCGTGATTTTTTTTTCTCACTGTGCATTTGCTTCTTTTGCAAAATATTTTAAATGCTTCTGGTTCTCGATCTTTTTATGGGCCTAAACTGTTCTTTTTTCCTATCTACTTTGTCTAGACTACTCATGATTTTGAAAACTTATATGAAATCTATGCTCAGCCTTCTCCTCTCCAAGGTAAACAGCCCAAACTTCTCCAATCTGTCATCATAACTAAAGTATTTATTTCCTCATCCCTGGAACCACTGAAATCTCTTTTTCACTTTCTCCAAAGCATTCACATTCTTCCTAAAGTGTGGTGCCCAGAACTGGACACAATAATCCAAATGAAGTCTAACTGGAGACCTTTATAAATTCAGCTTATACTTGCTGCTCTTATACTTTGTACCCCGCTTAATGAAGCCTAGAATACTGTAACTGTTTTTGTCACACTGCTAAGACATGTTATGAGGCACATCCTGGGTAATTGGGACTTGAACCAAGGCCTCCTAGTACAGACGCAGTGACACTACCACTGTGGCACAAAATGCTGTTCTTCATTCACAGCTCTGTTTCTGCCCTGCCTTCTTCAGCAACTTCTGCTTCTTTTCAGTCCTTTACGGCAGTGGGACGGGATTACTGGAGGTGGCCGTGTAGTTTGACACAATGAGGAGTGATTTTGCTGCTGGAGAAGCTTCAGTTTAAATGTCACTCATCACTCAGGCAGTTTCTACAGAAAAGGAGCCGCTTCCCCGCCCTTGCGGGCAGCCTTTTTCCCCACCCAAAACACTGGTCAGATCTGAGCTGTGCCAGGCTCTCATGCGGCCGGAGCTCCTGGCAAGGGAGAAGGGAAACCCCCTCTTTCTGGGGGTCCCGAGAATCTCAGGAAGGTAGAGAGAGCCGAACGTGCCCAGCAGCTGGAGCTGGAGTTGTCAGTCTTTTGCGATTCGCTGCTGAGGGACTAAGGGGAAGGAAGCGAGAGGAGAGGAGGAGGGAGGGGGCAGCCTCCTTCTGTCGGTGTCAGCTTGGTGGAGAGGACTGGGCAGCTCGAAGAGGAAGATGCAGCAGCTCAGAGGGAGCTGACCCAGTTTGTCCGAAGCGGATCGAGCCTGAACTTGCAGGAGATCCCCCGCACTGAGCGTTCACCGGCGAAGTTGCTGCCGGTTTGTGTGAGCTGGCAGCAGTGCGAGAGACACGGCGATGGACATGAGCGTAAAGAAATTCACCGTGCGCCGCTTCTTCTCTGTTTACCTGCGCAAGAAATCCCGCAGCAAGAGCTCAAGTTTAAGCAAATACGAGGTTGGTTGCCTAAATGTTGCTGAGTGACATGAACACGCGTGTCCTTGTGGTTGTTGCACTGCTGGTTTCTGGCGGCGGAGCATCCCTACTGCTGGATGCTGTGAGAGGAAACAAAGAGAGAGGATGCGGGGCGAATTGGATTGGGATGGGCTGGGCTTGGGAAGGACGGGAACGCAGCAGGACAGATGCTGGCGATCCATTCAAATAGCAAGGGACTGGGGCTGGACAGCTCGCTACATGAGGGCGAGGAAGAAATTGCGATTACACAGGAAAACGACCAGATTAGAGACTCCTGATCTTCCCAGGAAACGGCCCCTTCAATCAGTGTTTTCTGACCAGTCTCCGTGTTATAGGTGCTCCAGGATTGGCAGTGCCATTCCCCTTAGCCAGGGATGATGTGTCAGTGTGAGTGTTCCCTCTCTGCTCTTGATAAACCGACTTAACTGCGAGAATCTCCAAGCAATCAGAAGTTAGATCATTGAATTCTTTCATTAAAATAGCAACAGAATTACCGCTTTTCCCCCTCCCCCCAAGGGTTTTTCCTCTCTCTCGGAGTCTCACTGTAGATTCAGAAGAGAAATGCATACTCTGTTATTTCTAATTATAGGGATTTAAACAAGTCAGCGATGGTTAGAAAGGGCAATGGTACTGACTGCTGCCAGAATGGTCCCAGCACAATTGATTCCATTTAGCCTCAGTGCAGCCAGCATGTGTGGCAGGTGAACATAGACTGCAGTGTTGGACCGCTGGTGACCAGATTGAAGTGAAATATCCAACAAAGACGAGGTATCCAAGCCCGACCAATTCATTCCCCTCGCTTCCTTTGCAGATTTGAAATCAAATCTCCAGCAGCCGTCCCTTCTCATTGCTATCTCTTCCTCTACGTGACAACAGCTCGCTCATGCTCAAAAATCTAAACAAAATCCTTTGTGTAGAGACAGGAAATATCCTCACATCTTATCGTTAAGAACATGCCGGCAATGGCACGAAATATGATCTCGGACAATGCAAGCAAAGCAACAAAATGCAGAATCAGGTCACTGGTGTTCGTTTCAAATACCGCACCAAAGACCTTCAATTGTTTGACTCCCATCCAGTTGTTTTTCTCTCCTTCCTCTCCTTGAGTGCCATGGGCATCGGCATTCCTCCCAAACGTCAGCTGTGAATTCCTTCCCGAAGCCTCTCTGCCCATCGCCACCTCTCTCCCCGTCTTTCTAATAATTCCTCTTAGAATCGACCTCTTGGGCTTCCTCCAGCTTTCCTGATATCTGCTTAAAGAGCATGTTAACAACATTGTGACTGTTTACGCTCCTGTGAAGGACCCCGGTGGTTTTACAATGTGATAGGATTATATCGCTATAGAAATGCAAGTTGTTGCCATGTCTCTTGCTATTGTAACCTGGCTGCAATGTCAATATTTCTCCGCAGACTGACCAAAGGAACTGCGTATGCGTGTGCGTCAGTGTGTGAATGTGTGTGTGTGTGTGAGAGAGAGGGGCTTGAGTGGTACTATTCATAGTGAGAGTCAAAAGCGTGATTTGTGAGCTGAGTGCCAATCTGATATTGCGAACAGGTAGTACATGTGGGCAGATGGGTCACTCAATGTGTGGAAAACAAAACATTGACCTTGTGACATTGCAAATATCTTATAGTCAATTTATAACATCAGCAGAACAAATGAGCAATACATAAAGAAACTGTCAGTAATAGAACCTAAATAAATTGTAACCCCTAAACAGTACAAAGATCTGTGCCTAGAGGTTCTGGGTGTGTAGTGGTGGTCCTGTAATTCCAATAGTCATGCAATGTTGATACTCTGTGGGGCACTCCCTGCCAAAGACTGATGCTGGCAGAAACCAGCCAGCTTAGGAGAAGACCTGGCTGCCCCTCAGATGAATCTTATTGCCTCGGATAAGTGTTTTAAAAGATCCTGACCCTGATCATGAGCCTCAAGTGGACTCTGCTTCCATCAGTTTTGATCAGGTATGCTTGGGAACCTGAACCAATACCGCATCAGATTCAACCGAGGGCCAGAACGCAGGAACCTCCCATTCACAAAGTGTGTCCCAGGCACCTCCTGGCTGAAGATTCTGTTTACAGAAGCACAACTCTGAACATCTAGTTTAACAGCAGTGGCCATTGTATCCAGGTCCAGGTTTCAGTTTTTATCTGTTATGTAAGAAACAAGTCATTTCCATCTCGAGACAACCAGGTGCAGAGCTGGATGAACACAACAGGCTCAGCAGCATCATAGGAGCAGAAAGGCTGACAT